TTTCGTTCTCCAACGGATGCAATATCACGAACGAAGGAACCGCGTATCGGAAAGAAACAAACGATGGGTGATAACTGGCGAGCTAGCTGATAGGGGACAGGTAGGATAAGCTTTCCCTTAAACTCTCCCCCCAAATCTAAATGCGGGCATGATAAGTCACATACAAACAGACTGGTACCGTATTATCTTCTGTTATCCGGTTTTTCGCCAAGCCATGATCTGCATGGCGAAAACGCCCAACAGGGGTCCTGAGACATCAGATTTCCCAACGGTTTGATACTGGAAAATCTGCTGAAAACTAGAACAACTGAGAAAATTGTAATGTAGTATTTGGCTTTCCGATCACTTTTTTCCTCACCAAATTTGAAGCTTAATTGGCTGCTCTCAAATACTAGTGGCCCATGATAATGATTGGCCAAATTAGTGGTTTTCCAATCACTTTTGTCCCCATCGTCATACTTTTTCAACTGCAGAATTGATTGCTACTATCGGTGGTCGTCCCCCTCCCCCTTTCCGCTTAAGGTATATATCTCTCATGCTATAATATATGAAAGAAAATAAAAATAAGAATAAAAAAGTACAAGCTAATTGTGACAGGCTCTGAAAAACTAGTTCGCTAGCTATTAGTCTAAGAGTCTATCATGTTAAAGTCAATAATATCTCCTCCATCAGGTACAGTAAGTTCGTGATCCTCTGCCGATGGTAAATGGCTGTTGTGCTGATAACCTTCACAAGTCCATACATAGTGTAGGTTATCATAAAGGTCGGTTTCTTAAGGAAGAGCGCGAAACGATTCCGCTAACTGAAGAGAAAGAGGAACTGAAAGATCCGATGACCAATCTCCAATTTCAATCTCTGAAGGAGCAAATCCTTTAATTTTTATCTCATTATCGCGGCTGCCATCGACAGGTAAGGTCACTCCCACATCACGAAATGACTTGCGAATAAGTTCTGACTTTTGTTGACAAAATGCATGCCAGGCACGAGCAACAACGTGGGTTGTCATGATCCGTTTATCACTCACTGACCACCGCCCAATATCCTCGCTCTCAGACTGCTCATCAAGGTAAGCATCTGTGAACTCTCGGAGATACTGTTTGAATGGTTTATTGACTGCAGTATCAAGGGGCTGTAGGAGGCCAGTACAACCGCTGGGGATAATGGATGGAACAATATTATTCGCTCGCAGGAGGCTTAATATATCATCCGTGATATGAAATAAGGCTAGGTGCATCAGTAGAAGGCTGCGTGGAACTAGTTGAGTAAAGGTTGAGGACTCGGACTCGGAAGCTTGAGTAGGCTGAACGGAATCAAACTGGACTGGACTGGACTGAACTGAACTGAACTGAATTGAACTCGACTGGCCTGGGAGTGGACAAGACTGGACTGGGTGGTCTTGGATTGAATTAGGCTGAGTAGGATGACGGAGAGGTTGTTGGATTTGGGCTGGGGGGGAAGAGCAGGAGGTTGAATTGGAGGAACCCGGGCCCAAGGGAAAGGGAATAGGATTACAGAAGGCAGGTACCAAGTCTTCGGTGATGAAAGACTTGAATAAGGATTCGTTATTGTAGGCTGTATCGTTGAATAGCACAGTAACATCTGGATTCCACTTATGCCCTTCTTTTCTGATAATACTATCTCCTTTCTTTGCATGAAAGATGATTTTTGGTTTGATTCGTGATATTCCATCAGCAAAGATGTAGAGTATCAGAGTGGCCTGTCGTTTATCCCATCCACTACCATCTGTCTTTCCACTTATAGTTCGTGAACCCTTAATATCGTAGGTTTTGCCATCGAGGTACTCGAACGGAATTGAAGTTTCATCTAAGTTCATGATATTACTTAGACGAAAACAGCCCACATCGCTAGTAATCCTGGTGCTTTCGAATGGATTTCGTGGCTGTGAGTTCCTCTTATTAAACCTGAGCCAGTTTACCACCAAGCGGCGGTACTCATCCGGTAACTTGGAGGCTTTTTTGGTTAAGGCTCGGCAAGAGATATGCCACCATTGCAGAAAGCCATTAAACCAACCAGTCGAAAAAACAAAAAGAAATGTGCAAGCTGGATAATGGTTTTTAAATAGCTGAATAGCTGTTCGCCGAAACCATCCTTGCCGGACTAGCCGCCCCATTTTTCTTTGCTTGATAAAAGCAGTAAATAGCTCCTCCTCCATCTCTGGCCAACTGCACTTCCAGTTCATAGGTGATTGTCCATGAGATTTTCCCTTTTGCTGTAAAATCTCATCCTGCTGCTTCCACCAATCCTGAATTGTACTTTCTGGGATTTTCCAGTAGGTTGTGGCTTCTGCAAAAGTAGGCCTTCGGTACTGTGTCTCTCTAGCATCAACTGCTACCCGGTGGTGGGTGAGAAAAAGAAGTACATCGATTTTCCGTTCCCGGCTATAGCTTCTTCGAATACGCCTGATTGATCCTCTTGGTCTATAGACCCGATCACTGAGAGGCTTCGCTTTTGGCCCTGGCCGAATATGGTCACGTCGTGCAAGTATGTTGACTGGGCGCTGGCCTTGGATCCGTATGTTGACTGCATTCGTGGAGAGGGTCTTCAAGGTTGGTCTTATCGCTACTATTCTAGGAAAAAAACATAAAAGAAGAATAAGAAAAAGGGTAATAAGATACTGCTGTCTTGTCACCATGTTGACTGCTTTTAGCGACATGCATATGGTATCTAAGTGGTGGAGATTGGAATGTCGTTGCAAATAAGGCTGGCTGAAACATCAAACTAATCTACTTTAGGTTAAGTGCTTGCGTATTTCTAACGCCATTTGCTTGGCGAAAAACCGGATAACAGAAGATAATACGGTATCCATGTCACTAATGGATGCCAGGTTGCAGAATATCAGAAACCCAGTCTCCTGGTACGAGTAGCAACAGAGAAGACTCTCCCCATCATGGCGGGTGGCACGGCGGGATGCCCATGTAACGCATGAACCAGAGAACTTTCTAGTCAGAAAAATGCTTGACTCCAAAGTGCCAAGGTTGCTTAACAACAACCATCCCATTTTTCTCACATTTCCAATTGACGAGAAGCTGTGTATTCAGAAAATGGAGACATTTGGGATACATTAAGATTCGAGTGAGCAAGAGAGATGTGAAGTCTAGGTGGCGAGCAGATGTTGTACTCGAGTAAATACCGTAGTCAATTGAGGTGGACATTGAACTATGACAGGGTTTCGAAAATGGTCACTTTTTTAGTGTGAGAGAGCAAGTGACGGTGACCTTTGTTGGAGAACAGAAACAGTGATGATAATTTAGCCCCCTGAGAATGGGGTTCCGATGGTTGAAGAAAATTTACGAGTTTCGATTTTTGAAAGCCTGGATCTCCAGTATCTGGGCGCTGTTGCGGTTTTTGTCATAATAGGCTGCGGTAAGCTATCCCCTCACAGCAGTACCTTATCAGGTCCTGCACAGCATGGAAGTCTTGATCATGTATTTAAGGGTCTGTTTGGATCCGACAATTCCGTTCTGTTCACCCATACAAATTTTCTAACGGTTTCGTTCGCGAACAGTCATTTTGTACAAGCAGACGGAACAGAAGGGCCGCTTCCAAACAGACCTTAAGCCACTATTCCGATATTGTTATAATAAACAACAATGCCCTGCTCAGCGCCATACCTATTGATTCTCCCACAGCTTAGCACAAACCAAGACTGGGGAGAAGTCTATGGCCAAGGTAGAACAATGTAGCTAGCTCAGTATCCAATCTACTTTCTCCTTTTCACTTCCACCCACTCCAGGCCATCCGGCCACCCACTCTGAAGCCTCAGGAAAGTAGCTAGTGCGGCACGTTCATTCGGGGTATGGTCCTCATGGTAAATGGTAATCACACTAGTGTTACCATGTGCATGTTTGGATGCCTCATCATAAACAACAGCGACACAGCGGTCAACATCCTTCCCCACAAGGCGGCGGGTTGCTATTTCCTTAGCCAGAAGGTTCCGGAACTCCGTTTTCGTGGCCAGTTCGTTAAGTCCGGCCTGAATACCTTCTTTGCAATGGGATTTAATTTTGCGGAGCAGTCTTGCCTGGTAGGCCGTGCGTTCTATAGCCAAATATTAGCGATAAGTAAAGCGATAGATAGTGCGATAGTCTACCCAAGGCCCCACGGAGGTTGAAATTTCCCTCTAGCTTTATTTTTTCGGTTTTTTCGTACAAAACCAGGCCCTAAATACGATCACGGTTAGAAATTGGACCAAAATCAAAGGTGGGGACCAAACAGTAAGTCTGGAAATTTCGGCAGCTTTCTCCTTAATCTCTTTGTTTTTCATCTCACAGCGATGATGAAACTTCGCTTCAAGCTTTTCGACAAGATCCTCATAACGTTGAGCCTAGTCCTCATAGCGTTGATACCATTTGGCCTCCTACTCCCGAAATACCCGACTCGACATCAAAAGATGTGGCATGGGAGAGGGCTGACTTGAACCTGCTCCAGCCGGAAGCTGTTGAATGGCAGCGAGCTCATGGGGATTGGGGTTGAGTGCCGGGATCTGGACATCCTGTGGGCCGCTCAGATGCTCAGGTATCGTACCAGGGTTACCCGCTACTGGCAATGCATAAGTGGAAACCATTGAGGAAGAAGGATGATTTGGGAGTGCTAGTAAGGAGGTGATATGATATTCGGCAATGTCGTTCTTGAGTTGGACAGTGGTTCAGCGAGCCAGAAGTAACAGTTTGTTGAGAGTCAAGAAGAAAATGCGGTCATACATCCAGCACTGCTTACTTGCTCTGCCAGGGCAAAGGGGGACAAGGCAGCTAACTTATAGACTCCCCCCCTCCTCCACACACACTCTCTCTTCCACCCGCTCACACCTCTTCAAAATTCAATACCGGTACAGTATATGTAAGTTTAACAACCCCAATTACCGTACAAGTTCCTCCATTCCCCGTCAACCATACCGCCCGCACCCCATTTTTCTGAACGGCTTCCTCTTTGCACTCGCTTAGATAGAGAGGAGCGAGACATCACCCTTCACGACAGCGGAGTCAACCATGAGGTCTTTGCCTCACCCTTACCTCGTAGCTGCGCTTGCTTTCGTCACCGCCGTGATCGGTCAGCGAACCTATGATCAGCGTAAGCACGCCTCTTACCAAGATTCTTCGAATCTCATATGCCACAGTGGAACTTGTTACCCCAGAGTCTTCCAACCTACCCATGAATTTCAAGTTGTGCGCGACGATCGGGAATTGCCCCCTGCATTATCGTCGAAAACGCGAGATTTTTGCTTATCAGTTCCACGTGACTAATATATGTATCGGCCGTGCTGCAACTTGCACGCGTGACTATGCGGCCGTCGATTGTTGGCGAAGGAGCTGGGGCGAATGTAGGAGGTGGATGAAAGCAGTTGGAGGAAGTTTGCGGGTAAGCTGGAGGTCGGAGCGAAGAGAAGGCTGAGGCGGAGGCTGAGAGCAGTAATGATGCCGAACCAGCATAAAGTATAGGCGGGGAAGTTTGACCGCTTAATGGAAGAGTTTGGGCGTGGGTTATCTATCTGTCGATAGCGGTGGGAAGGAAAGTGTCAAAAATTAATGGCAGTGATTGTCATCACCGGCGATCACTCGTTTTTGACTCCCACTACTCGTCCACTCATAAAGTATCCGGATATAGAGAAAACGACTTGGTGCCAAGAAGGAGTTATTATCCGGTATAGCCGACACAGTGTATTGCCAGGATCAGATCTCACTGGAGGGAGCCGCTAACGTACGATATGACCAGCGCCAAGCCAATTCTCAATGTCCGGATACTGTATGAATTGACGAGTAGTGCGCTGTTGAGTCAGGGTATGGGTTGGAAATATTGCTTCAATGTGACGGAAGTAAGCTTGGTGGGAGTGTGGCAACTAATGTCACATGGAGTATAATACCATGCAATGATTTCCCACGATTAATGGTTGCTAAGATGATGAACCATGCATGGTAAGTTGAAAACTTGGAGGTGTCCCCATACAGCTCAACCCCCAAGAAGATTTCCTACGTTGGGTTTAAGGGGGAGAGGTTCATTTTTTCTCAAAGCCTATGTGGTGTACTCGTACTCCCCAAAATCAAAAGTCTGCTCCCGTGATATAGCCGCCAGTGGCAACACCGAAAATTACTCCCTTCTGGCAGCCTTCGCGGTAGGGGAATTCTGTTGGTAGCTATCGCTCATAAATCAAATATCCCTATGTTATGTAAGGAATCCCTAGTAAAAATGTGTGAGTGCCAATACCCAAGCTTTTTTCATGACGATTGGATCACGGAGCCTGGTAAGCTTACTGTAAGTTACCGTACGTTACGTACCGTATCAGATGGTACGCTACCCTAAACTTACCGTTCGAACCCTAGCATGGGAACGGGTGATAGAAGTGACTTGCTCGACTTCCTAGATGGGATAAACTGCTCCCTTAGGGGCATAAACTCTTAGAGATGTCGTACTACGACATAATATAGACATCCCTGTGACACAACTTGGGTAGTCTGAATGACAATATCTAGGAGTGACGGCGGATCAACTGGGGACTACGAAGGATTCACCTAGCGGTTTGTCTTTTGCTGCAGAGCGAGATACACTACGCGAATTTCATGAACCGGATTGCCAACAACTTGACGAAGCTAGATTCACAGACTAACTTTGGGTTCACGTGTGACACAGCCTTAGGGTGAATACGGGATCTACGAGAGCTATCATGGCCGCACGACCCGATTTTTGCAGCCGGGCGAGACGCTTGAGGAGCTCTCCCGAGAGATTCCGCAGTTAGAGGTCGAGAAGGAGCTCCACCATTTTCCACCCCCAAAGACGCCTCTGGCGGAGGCCTTATATGCACGGGTTGCGAAGGGGATCGCGCATCCTGAAGGGGTAGGGGTGGAAGAAGAAAGAAGAGATGAGAACCTCCTTACCGGTGGCTCTCCTCGTCTCTTTTAGACACACCTGTGATGGAAACTGTGGTGCTGCTGAGCATGCTCATGGCTATCGCTCGTCTGTTCGTTCGCGGTTCATATCCGCCTTTCGCCTTTCATCGCCCGTTTATTCGTGCTTTGTTTCCGCCGTTCACCGTTTATCCGTTCGCTCGCTCGTTCACGGTTCGCTCGTTCGCAGGAGATATGGATAGTAGGAGGCTGGGGAGTAGTGGGTGCCTTTATGGAGTTTGTCTTTCTTTTGTTAGCATGCGAGTGAGTATGGTGTATGGGAACTTGCGCGGACGAGAGCAGAGTTCTGTGGTGTACGGTAGAAGGATGGAAGGCGTGGAGGATACGTTGTCGTGGTTGATATATACTCCTGTCTTTTCCGTTAGTTAGTTAGGGTGTGCGAAAGTTGAGAGTTGTGCGTTGAATGAGAGGGAGAGTTGTCATATGTTCCCCGCTTTTGCCTTGCAGAGTTTTTTGTGCTTGGGTCATCGCCGCTTGATCCGTATTTTCGTGTTCGTTCCGTCATAGCCAATCACTCGTTCGTTTCACGTCGTCGAACGGTCGAATATTTTTATCAACCTGCTCACTGAAGTCGGTCGGTTCGCAACGTCTCACATCCGACTTCTGCCATCTCGCATATAGTGAACTCGACGCATAGGACTCTCCGCAGTCCACACCTCCAATTCTCACCCATCTACTGGAAGAAGTGGAGTAAGCGCGAGATGACTACTCCCTCGAACCCCACTAACATTCCAATGTCAGGTATCGATACCGACTTGTTTTTCACTGTAGTGATGCCGAGGCTGTACGCGCAGTGCCTGAGTTTGTTGACCGAGCTACGGAAAGGGTTGGACAGCGATTGGATGCTCAGCTAAGATGGGGGGCAGGGTGTTAAGAATGTGCTTGGTGTGGGGGGTAGGGGCGCTCGGGTACTTGCTTGGCAGAGTATTGTCCAAGCGGAAGAGGAGAGAAGGAAGGATGAGCTTTCGGAGAGAGAACAGGGAAGCAGCCACATGGCCCGGATGGGAAGGAACTGCCGGCCCCAAGGGAGAGGAGTGGAGAAGGGCAGTGGTCATCGAGGCTCCTGAACGATACTCCGTTTATTCCTCAAGTGCGGGATATCTATTTCGAAAACCTACACTACACGCTGGGCGCCCTGATGGCGAAGGATAAGGCCCAGCCGAGAAAACTCTACAATCTGATCATTGCTACAAACAGAATCCTCCTGATAGGGAAGTCATTTTTCCGCCACCAAACCATTGAACAACTCAGGTCGCACCAAAACCCGAACGCCTACATCCTTTCGATCATCGAAATAGGCATGCCAATGGGCTTCGAGGCTGTCGCCTACACCCGCTCCACCATCCTAGAGGACTGCATCCAGGACGTTGGCAAAGCTTTCTAATCCCCCTCGACTAAGAATTCCGGTGGCTTCTCCAACCCCCCTATCGAAAAGGAGCCCGGCACTACAATCGCCCCGTCCACGAACCAAGAACAATGCCCTTGTTCACCTCTGGCCCTACAGACGGCACCAACCGCAAAGACTACTGCCGCTTCTCGCAGCGCTATGAACGCCCCAGCTATCTGCAGAGACTCATAGATGAGTCGTCCAAAAAAAAAAAGACCATGAAGATCTCGAGTACTCATATGTCGCCTTCCGTCATAGTATCGATCGCCGCGCTGACACGAAGCACCCGGATTAATCCAACGATAGACGGCTTTGGCATAACCCCCTTCGACGACGAACCCGATACGCCAATTCAGAGCCCGTACACAATGCAACAACTCTGCAATTACAGTTAGACCCTTCCGCGCGTCATACTCCCACCTATCAAACGCGACTCGCACATTATACTCGACTTATGCATTGCGACGGGCTCCATCGAATGCTGGGTTGTTCCCCAGAGCCTCGGAAAATTGGAGTATAGAGACGTGAGGAAGAGCGGGTGGGGTGATCTCTGGGCGCTTGGAGCGAAAACTCGCACAAGCCGAAACATAAAGATTGGTGGCGGCAGCAGGAAGACAATGTCAAAATTTATCGCAATCAAGGACCCCCATGGTGATGGGGTGAGGGCTATCGCTAAGGATAAGATGACCGCCTTCCTGAAGGCGAAGGAGGCAAAGAAGGCCGCAGGGCTTCAGAGGAAGCGGGATGCTAGGGAGTCATCTCGAAATGGTTAGCGCGCACAAGGAGAAGAAGGAAAGGGGGCTGCAAGAGAAGGCAACGGCGGGGAAGGGGACCAGGGAGATGCTCGAAGAAACGATTGGGATGCGTAGAGATAGGAGGGGAATGATGCAGCTGCGGGTGCAAGCAGGGAGAAAGGGGTAGGAGGCGCCGAAAAGGGGGGGCAATCGCAGTTTTGCGCTCGCAATGTAACCATATTTTCATATCCGGAGCGTAGGCCGCCAGTGGGTGGTGGGTATATATGAGGCTTCTCAATTTTTGTAAGTTATTTATCCAAGTTAGCTCCAAAAAGTGTCAACCGCAGCAGCTATCGGTGGTATCATTCGAAAAGTCGAGTGATTATTGGTGAAAAGGTACCACCAACCCCACCACTCCCGAAACCACTAACTTCTTCCATCACCCGCCCAGGGGTTGTGAGAACGGGGGAACGTATACCGGTGCGTTGGTCCTCCGGAGGAGTGCGTGGGCAAGTGCTGTCGATCGTGGGGCCTGCTGGAGATGGTAGCTTTGGCAATCATCCGCTAGGGGTTGGAATGTTGTAATTGGGTTCTCTCCGTTGGAGTATTCTATAATATTATTAAATTTGATGGGTTTTCCATATATTCCTGTGTTCGGCCGACACGACTCTGCGGACATCCACCCGGCCAGAGCCGGCGCAGTGTCTTCGCGATGCGTGGCTTGGAATATAGGTGTTTGTCGAGTGATGTTTTGTGATCTTGATAAATATAGTTATCAATGCAAGAAAGGGTGGCGCTGGTAATAGATACTGTGCCCTCCCATAGGGCATCCGAATCCATTGCTGAATGAACCCGATGAGTGGAGGACTATCCGTCAGCTTCCGAACGCTTTCCCCAGCCTCAAATGTTACTGAAGGTAGTAGGAATGGTCTACTGTAATTTTTGTCAACATGCTCTAGGGCCTCGAATACCAAGGTTCGGATCTTGTTTATACTTTCTATTGGGTCCTAACTTACGGGATTGCCTTTCGGCTCTGGGAGAACATACCGGGTTTCCGGAGGGCGAGCAAAAGTAGAGCGGTAGTCCAGGAAGGGGAGGTGTGCAGCTCGGCCCCCACGAATAGTGGCAAAGTTGGGTTTAGTAGGTGAGATGTCAATGTTTTTCAATCAGAAATCACGGTGTTAGATACAATTACACCACGAAACCAGATATCGTAACCCTTTGGCAGCAGCTGGCCAAGGTCAACATCTACCCGAGCAAGTGACGAAGTAAATAGACCGGTGAACATTCAGTGAGGCAGCACCAGCAGCCAGGCTTGGCAAAGATTTCTTAGCAGTTTGGTTTGATGCTAACTGAAATTTGGTGTCAAACCATGCCAGGCCTCGCTGATAGTACTGCTTAGCTGCACGCTCACCCGGTCTATCTAAATTCGGGGAGCCTAGCTCGATTGTTGCCGAACAGAGCCCTAGATTCCTTGCCCCAGTAGTGGTTGATCAAGATCTGCGGTGTCAGCTGACCCATCAACTTAACTAGGGCTTTGCCACATCCTCGAAGACTTGCATCAACCTCTCTCTCCCCCTTTCTCTCTCCGGTGCATCCTCTACAACAGTCATCTTCCACGTACTTTCTCAAGAAATCTAACGTTTAGTCGTACGAGCATGTCGGGCAAGATTTTTAAAGAGATTAAAGATGCAATCAGGACACTTACTCCGGACCGCTTAATCTTCCATGACATGGAGTAGGCCGACTTCAACCAGATCATGCAAGGATTAAGACTTCCAAAGAATTACCTGGAAGAGCGTGCCTTTCGGTAACCATTCACCTCCCCACTATTTTTCTTCGTCCCACAGAACTAAATTACGCTTACAGCATCCATTGGTTTCCAAGGGAAAAATACCTCAAGGTTCTCATGCCCTCCGCATTACATGAGTCGGCCAGTGTTCCCAACCGTCCCGGACGCCCTGCAGGGCCCTGGCGGGCTTGTAGTCCCGGGCGTCCCGGGCGTGGTGGGTAAAGACGGCAGGGCATGGCGTCCGTCTTTGATAAAGAGTGCCGTCCGAGGGGTTGACGCCCGGGCCCGGGGGTCTTAATACAAATGGCATCTTCCAGCCGTCCTCACCAGGGCCCGGCCGTCATTTTCAGGGCCCAGCCGTCATCTGTAGGGCCAGGCTCTCATTCTGCAGGTCTATTTGCAGGTGAGACACCTATAGGGCCCGGCCGGCCGTCCCGGGCAGAGGTTAGGACGGACCACAGGCCGGGCGTCTGTCCAGGGCAGAGTTCCAGGAACCGGCGTCCGTCCCGTCCGAAGCTAAGGACGGACGGACTGGACGCATGGGAACACTGGAGTCGGCGGGCGCGTGGTTATATGACGAGATTTCCAATGGGTTGGCAACAGGCATCATTCCAGAAGTCTGGGTTGGCAAGATCCGTATTAATGCTTCACCAGGTTTGTTGTCACTTATGCTCTATCGAAACTCTAAAATCAAGCTAATCAGGTTTATTAGAATATAGCAACTTTAGAGGCGAATATGCAGGATATACCAAGGAAGCGGATATAACCTTTGTTCCCCTGCTCGGTCCCGAATGGACGAGAAAGAGGCAATTTCCTTCGGTAGTCCTAGAATCGGGGTGGTCTGAGCCGGCTGACCGGCTCAAGCTAGATGCAACGCTGTGGCAAGCTGGCTCAGAGGGGGCAGTATGTGTGGTGATCCAAGTAAAGTTTTATAAACGGGAGGCTGGGCGTATTGGATCACGATTGTGGATCAGCCGTGCTGAGCCCACCAGTAACTCTTTCCAAATTACCTATGAACATATGCAAGGCTTTTCTATATCCTAATATTACCAAATAGGTGACTAATGTGCGAATTTAATCAATAGGACGTCCTTCCTCTGCCCACTGTGCCTATACAAGACCCCCCCGATTACGTTCAAGGAATTCTTTTCAGGTGGTTGTCCACCCGGCATTGACCCCGCAGGATCTGTTGTTTTAAAGCTCCAAAATCTTCACGTCGTCGCTAGTTGTGAGATAATTGATCGAGGGGGTGTCCCAGATGAATAAATTTGGTATGTCCTCCACGAGTATTCGTCTTGCCCAAGGAGTTATGAGTGGAAAGTGTGCAATCTCCGGACTTCACCTTTTTGGATTCACTGGGCACATTGAATTTAAGATCTGCATGCATGCAAGCCACCATATAGGGGTGGAGGTTATACACTTTCCCTCTATCACTTCCTGAGCTATAGAGGATATCTAATGTATAACTAATTGTATAAGCAGTGGGGTACCGGTGACGCGAGGGGTTTGGAGCGGAGTGATGATACGGGTGGGACTTTTCCGGGTGTCCTTATTGAATCTGTGTGGTGGATGGGTGAAGAAGGTTGTATTTTCTAGCTTCGATGGAGACGGTAGATAAAGGAAAATACATGATTTCCAAGCCTCTTCTCCTGCTATTCGATCACCCAAACTCTAACGACCTATACATGAGGGTAGTCACCTGTATCACCTGCTAATGGTCCTTTGGAAGGCAAGGCCACCACACTTTCTGGGTAGCGGTGGTGGTGTCATTCTAAATAAAAGGGTAGAGACTGGAGATACTCTTTTTTCCTGGTGCAAGTTCTATATTTTCTGTGAAGCATCTGCAGGATACGTGACCTATCTTGAGCATGCTCAACATAAGATGCAGTGGGTTATGTGAACTTAGCTTGCCTAACGCAATTTTAACTGGATATTGTAGTGACCTTTAGAAGATAGAAGGAGTGCACCTGTGTGGTCTGACCACTCCAATTGTGGCGAGCTTAAAATATAGGGCAATTTACCCAGAGTCGTCCGTTCTTTATTCTGTTAAAATATCCTTACTCTATTCCACTGCTATCGGGGAGAAGCCCCACTACTTACAGAACCAATGACAGGACTTCTGATGTACGTGTTTACATCACTTGATGCCTCATCACAATGATGCTCCTCTTACCTCATATGTCACCTGATATGGAGAGCTTATCCAACATATTCAACTCCTGGCGCAGTGAGTCACGATGTATGGTTCCTTAACCAAATCACCACCATTTTCAGTTCCCGTAAACCGGTTTCTTACACCACAGGACAAAGGTGCACGAGGTTTCATACAACACTACCATTGCCTAAAAAAAAATTTACACCAATGGCTGCAAGGCCAAAATCCAACATAATGACAGCAGCACAATACCGGTATACCGGTATATGCCAATGATAGAATACGGATAAGTCTGCAGAGGCCTTCCAATACCTTGTATAAACGTAGTCTTCCTTGAGGATATCATTAATTATTCCAACAAAAGTAAATCCACTTTAAGAAAATTGCAAAACTGCCGACCACTCCCAGACTCGGTCACAAAGTATAGCCCATGACCCAGAATCAATGACCTTAAAAGGCCCAACCAGATTCAATTCAAACCCATACCAAAACGTCTCAAACTACTCAGTCACACCCTATCGCCAGTTAACAAAGCAGCCAGCCTATTCACAATGCGATTTATTTCACATTCGCCACATATGATAGGGCCACTCTACTTTCCCCACTGCTGGTTCCTGGAGTCACCTTCCACCAACCTATCGCCCAGTTCCCCGCTTCATTCCTTCTTGACCTTGGCATCGAATCCCTTCTGTGCTTCTTGCTTCAAAAATTGTCTTTTCTCCTCGGACTTGGAGAATGAAAAGCTATCTGTCCTCAGCTCTCTATTGGCACCTTCGCCGTGCCTCTTCATCGGGGCACGACTTGCACGACTTGCCCATCCCCCCACTTTCGGCTCGTTGGTGTCCGTAGTATTCATTTCATCTTCACTTCTGTCAGTCGGAGGGCATGTTATGGGAGACTGGCCCTTCTTAATTCATTCCCAGGCAGACTCACTTGTATTGGAATGTGTATTAGTCCACCTGTCCTGGCCCTGGCCGGCCACCCCTTCACCTCCCATCGGCGAGGCGTCATCAATACCAAATGGGTCGCCCAATCGGGGACCACCACTCCGCTTCCTAGTCTCAAGTTCAGCAACTTGCTCTAAAGGCCGGCCATGAGGGAATGTCTCCTCACTAGCATCTAACCTACCCTCCGTCCCATCAGAAACCTCCGTCCTGCCCAAGCCCTGCTCGTCATCCTGCGCCTTCAGATTTTCCAAGTCCTCCATGCTCCACAGTCCAGGTCCCATGGCTAGAATCTCGTGTACCAGAGCTTCCTTCTTCTTGTTGGCCGCAGCAACTACACCACGGAGATTCGGATCCGCTCATTTCTCAGCCTTATTCTTCTGAACTTGGAAGCCCGCACTCGTAAGGCCATACATCCACCCAACAGAACTCCTGACACCAAGCTGCAGTCCTCGACTAAGCCACCTGGTGGTATTGACTCTCTGGGCACCCGGCTTCATGAATAAACTAACCATAGTGGTTCCGGAGGAGAAATGCAATTAATACCCCGGAAGAAACACCCAAGATGTCCCCATAGGATTCGTACAAGTAGAAGCGGCTGTTGTGGTAGGCCAGACCTTCGCGCTCCACTGGCGTTAATTTCAGCCTGAGGAGCGCTGCGGCCTGGGTCAGTGAAGTGGGGATGTAAAAGTAATGGTGAAAAGTAACACAAAGTGGATCCTCAAAACAGGCCAAATGCGATCTTGAATAAGTTAATTATAACAAAAGTTCTTTTTTTTTTAAAAAAAAAAAAAAAAAAAACCCACTGAAGCAAAGCTACTTGAAGGGAGAAGCGCTCAGTGGAGTCAGTGGTTCACTGGCTGGCATTTCGGTACCGCGTGTGGGTGCTTTGCCGACTGGTCCAAGTGATCCCTTCGTTTGATACCGAATCCCAGCACTCTTTAGCGTTGCGTTGCATTAGCGCTGGGATCACCGAATACTAGAACTAGACGCCGATAAGCAGTAAGTAGAGATGGGTATCATGTAAACTCACCATTCAAAAGTATTGTCCCATACTCCGTTTTCCCGCAAAAGTCGGTATATTCATTAACTGAAACAATGATAAAAGAAAACTATTGAAAACTACTAAAAACCACCAAAAGCAGATATTTATAAGGAGAATCTTTTGCTGATTTTTATTTATTTTATTTATTTATTTTACAGGTTTGGTATTCATTTTTGTATGGTGGTTGATATGGAATGCCAAGCCCTCATCCAAATTTGGCAGGCTTTGGTGGGGATTTGCTTTTTATCGCACTATGCCTACCGTAAGAACTCGAATAATTGAACCTCGCGCTAGGACGTTCAGAATTCCCTCTCTTGGATAGGAGGCCGAGAGCACAGTGAAAACCGACTCCCCGAGCCCCCGCTTAAGAGAAAAAAA